AGGTGGAGGGGCGTGGTTTGATAGGGAACAGGGCAGGAGAAGTGATACGGGTGTAATATGGAACTAGGTCACAATAGGAGAACCAGTCTAATTGTTTATTCCCCCCAAAACTGCAGAAGATCGGAACATTTCGCAAAATTCGCCACAGAACGGACCCCCCCCTCCATGGGCCATACAAACAGAAACGTATTTACTTGAAGGGAATTTCGGCCATTTTGACCGTCTGGGGCCGGGGCGACCGTTCCAGGGCTCTCAAAGGACGTTTGCCCCAATCTGATTGGTTGAAATAGACAGACAAATGGTGTGAGGCCTAAGGGGGGAGAATATGAAGCAATAAAATGTTTTATCATGGTTTGAACCTCCAGGCTCACCGTAGTGCTATTCCTGTATGGACAGGACTATACAGGGTTGGAAAATTGGTGGGAAACCAAAATGAAGTAAAATAATCAATATATTAATAATCAATGATAGCTATGAATAGAATGCCTCATAATACCGATATTCTGCCCCCAACCAGCCGTCTGCGGCCTTCTCCTGCCCCGAGGCCCCGGTTGCGGCCCTCTCCGTCTCGGGGCCTAGCGGCGCTTTCTTCCTCCTCCTCCTCCTCCCCCATGTTGTCCCAGTCCCGTGCCTCCTTTCGCCTTACCTGTCTCGCCCTCTGCAGCGCGTCCAAGAAGGCGTCGTTGACCCCGGCGGCGGAGGCCGCGTTAGGCGGGGGGACGGTGGAGTAGTCGGACATCTCAGCTGAACTCGTAGTGCCTGCGCCGTGTGTGTACGCTGTGTGCTTGCGTGTGGCCGCGCAGTGTGAGGAGAAGAGAGAAAATGGCGCTCGAAGTACCTCGCGCTGGTAACCCCGTGTCGCCCAGTCTCGCGAGAGCTGCGCTTCAGCTGAAACTCCCGCTTCAGCCGCCCGGAGTTCTCGCGGGAGTTGAGTCCTCCCCCCAACACTCCCCTCCGGTGATCTCGCGAGAGTGGAACTTCTCCGTCCCAGCCCTCTTCTCCTCAGAGAGAGTGCTGCACGCGCTGTCTGTATGGGCGCCTTGGAGACAAGATGGCGGCGTCCTGTGAGGGAAGGGGAGATGTCCTTGGGTGTATTGTGTTCAGTTATCTGCCTAGGCTTACAAAGAAAATCAACTGTACATTTATTTATTTTTAGATATGTGGTATTGTTAGCAATGTAACATGTGTGTGCATCAATAAAATGATTACTCTATGAAGATTTGACCACGGTGTGCTGGTGATATATTTTACTACTGAAACGGCGCCATTCGCAGGGGACACACCAGTAAGGAGCATCCTAGATGTGCAACAAATGCAGAAAAGTAGTACGCCGGAATTTTGGCATTGCGCAGTGTTGGGCAAAACCGCGTTGGCTCGGCTGACTTTGAGGTGCTGTTGCCTAGTAATAGCGACACAAGCACATTCCATGTTTGTGCATGTATCCAGGGTTGCCACCTGTCCAGGATTGACCCGGGCAGTCCGGGTTTTGAATGCTGTATCCAGGTTTTATGGCAGCAGAAACCCGTACACAAGATGTCAGGCAGACAGGGGCAACGCAAATTAATATAGGGGCTACTGGCCCCCCACTGAAAATAGTCTTGACTGTGATATTTACAAATGAATGGGTGGCACTATTTATATATGAATAAGCCATGACTCATTTGCCCCAAAAAATGTCCGCGCATCGCTAGAGTGTTTGGGTTTTGCTTGAAAAAAGGTGCCAACCCTACCCGTATCATGGACGCATTTCAAACTGCATTTGACGTGCGTTCATGATACTCCCCCGTGTGAACGGGGCCTGAATTGTTGGATTTCGCCTTGCTTTATTTTTGGAGACACTAGCCACTGGGATTAATTGAGTGGTGAATCTCCCCATTGGGGACATGACGGCATAAAAAAGAGGGTCCCATCGCCTGTAACAATGCACAAGATTCTTGTAATAAAGGAAACCTGTGCAGACATGCATTCTTCTGCAGCGCGGTGCCTTGCGGACACTTGGATTATTATTATACAGGATTTATATAACTCCAACAGTATGCCCAGCGCTTTACAATATAAGGAAGACATTACAATACAATTCAAGATAAGATGGTAAGGAGGGCCCTGCTTACAATCTAAAAGGGAGGGGCAAGTGATACATGAGGAGGGAGCTGTGTGGGGATGAATTGTTTGGATGGTGCGTACACTGCACAATCCTAATAAAGTTTAAATGAGTAAAGCTGCCTACCTGTACCCCCCCCCCACCCCCGGAGATTGATGAGCCAGTGTTTGGGGGTATTATGTCACCATAAGCACTGCATCATGACCAGATGGGCTGTCTGCTTCCATTTACCATAAAGCCTAAGACACATTGCTGAAGCAAAGGGGAACTAAGCTGTGAAGTCTGTGACACACTAGACGCGGAGCCGTTCGGCCGACCCGAAGTGCAGAAGGAGTTCGACTCAGCCGATCCAACATCTGGATCGACTAAGCCGAACCTCCGGCAGGCTACTTGCTGCTGTTCGGTCTATTCTTATAGATGCCGAACAGCAGTGAGTGAATGGCCGAATGCCGCTGAGCGACATTCGGCTCGGCTGTTCTACCCGGTCCATATGTGGGACCGAGCAGAACAGAAAATTAGTTAAAAAAGTAGAAAAAATAAATAGAAAACGATTGTGCGGAGCACTGATCTCCAGACAGCCTAACTCTCCCGGGCGCTAATTATTTTTTTTTATTATTCTGACGCCAGCCAAAGGCTCCATGTCAGAATAAAAAAGAAAAAGAAGTGTTTCTCTCCTGGGCGACCGGGAGAGTTAGGCTGTCTGGAGATCAGTGTCCCTGGTTAGCTGGTAACCAGGGACGCTGATCTCTCTGCAAGTGGCCAGAGCCAGCCGTAACATCACGGCTGGCTCCGCCCAACTGTCGGCCGCCCCCCCCGGCTGACTTCGGGAGCGATACGGGCTATAGTGAATACAGCTAGATCCTTTGGCTGCTTCGTGAATAGACCCCAATGTCTTATTTTCGGGGAAAAACACGGTAATATGGGGGAAGGGCTTTTGTTCTAGTCTAGTAGGTTTTACATTCTCATACAAGTCTGTAGGTCAGGGGGAGGTCCACTGCTAGCCGTATGCACTTGTCAATTGAAGCATGATGGCACTTTAAAATGAAGTACACTTAACCTTTTGGCCCATTTTAAGCTGACCTAACACATAAATGTTTTTATGGTCTGCTTAGTACATATTCTTATTCTCGCCTTTGGTATCATTCACACAGTGCGGCTTTGTAGCTCTTGTGCATCAATATAAAATATTGAGTATTATACAGAATGTAAAGAATAATACAAAATCATTTTGAGGATAGTAACGTACTGGTTTCTTTTCTTTATTTTCCTTGCACACGATTGAGTATTCTTTGCAAAGTGAATTTGCACCACATTCACTAAGCTAAATTTCCCTTGCAAAGTGAACAGCCTATTTGCCTTTAGTAAATCAACTCCAATAGCTTCTATGCTTTGGGAGTCACTGGTACGGAAGAAGTATTAAAGGAGAACTATGAGGTGAGTGCTTTTCACTCACCTCATAGTTCTAGCGACCTGTGACAATGAGACTGTCACTGGTCGGCTCAGTAGATCGGGAGGTGAGAGAACACATATCGGCGTTCGCTCACCTCTCGATCCTGTCACGGCTCTCTGCCGTGACAGGGGAGGGGCTGGATTCCCCCCTCCCCGCTTCGATCCGCCAGCGCTGACTGGCGGAACGGACGGGGGAGGGAGGGGGCGGTTACAGCTGGCTCTGCCTTCAGATAGGCAGAGCCAGCTGTCAGTCACGCAGCTGGGCGGATCCCGGCACAATTGTCGGGATCCGCTTCAGCTGTGGCATCTCAGTATACCGTGAGCTACAGCTCGCGGTATACTGAGCCTAGGTTGACGGGAGGATGCTAGTTTGTGTCCTCCCGTTACCCTAAGGAGAACTATGGGGAAAAGCCTTAACCCCATAGTTCTCCTTTAAGCTAAGGATCTCTGAGCGATTCCAGTCATGGCATTATAGCAGGAAAAATGTTTTTCAACATGTTAGAAAATCAGTGGCTTAGTGGTTAGCACTTCTGCCTCACAGCACTGTGGTTCTCAGTTCAAGGGCACAATATGCATGGAGTTTGCATGTTCTCCCTGTGCCTGTGTTGTTTTCCTCCGGTTTCCTCCCACACTCCAAAAACATGCCGGTAGGTTAATTGGCTCCGGTCTAAATTGGCCCTGTATGTATGTATGTGAGATAGGGACCTTAGACTGTAAGCTCCTTGAGGGCAGGGACTGATGTGAGTATATTGTTGGCATAGCGATGTGTAAATTGATGGCGCTATATAAATACCAGTAATACATCAATAAAATCAATTTATTACCCATAGCTGATCATCTTAGAGGCAGGAAAACTTGTCACTGACATCCATCATCCAAATCTGGTAGGAGATTGTGGTGGACCCTGGAAGTCCACAACGTATTCAATGACAAGTATTTGTTCCTCTGTACAGTAAGGGCTAGTTCACACCAGCCCCAGTGCGTTCCGGCCCGAATGGTGCCGGAACGCACTGGATCAAATCCCGTCCGGCTCACTTTGTTGTGGGGCGGGAGGGGGCATGGCGGTGCATTGAACTCAATGGCACCGCAGCCACACCCTCCGGCTGCAGTGCGATTGCACGCACTGGAACGCGTAGCACATCAATACCTGCGTTCCGGTCTGGTGCGGTCAGAAAAAATAGTGCATGCAGCATTTATTTTGACCACAGCGGGCTGGAACGCAGGCCACGTGTTCTGGGGGGGACGATCGCACTGTGGCCGGAGGGCCTGGCGGCAGTGCCATTGAGCTCAATGCACCGCCACGCACCCTCCTGCCCAAAAACAAAGTGAGCCGGCCGGGATGCGATCCAGTGCGTTCCGGCACCAATCAGGCTGGAACGCACTTGGGCTGGTGTGAACTAGCCCTAATATTATCAACAGGGCAATCAGTAAAACTCATCTCCTTTCTAGGTATGCTTATCTTAAAAAAAGACACATCCATTGAGTTCAACCAATAGCAAGGTATAAATATAAAACACTATAAGGCTGGGTTCACACCTAGGCGTATTGAATATGCGCGTTTTTCTCGCGTTTTTTTTACCGTGATTCGCGGTAAAAAAAAAGTGTGAAAAACACGCGTTTCCGAGGGCTACTTGGCTGTATCCCAATGGAAACGCCCGACCAAAACGCCCCAAAGAAGTACATGTACTTCTTTGGGCGTAGGTCGGTTTCCCACGCGTTCGCACTCACGGAAAACCGCCCAGATGGGAACCATGCACATTGAAAATAATGGCATTTCCCTGTTTGAGCGTTTTTCCGCGAGTACGAAAGCGCGGAAAAACGCCTAGGTGGGAACCGGGCCTAAAGTAGTAGAAAACAGAGAAGGGAATTTATCAAAACTGGAGCAGACAAAATCGGGAGCAGCTGTACACAGCAACCAATCAGCTTCTCTCTTTCATTTTCAAATCTCAACTGAACAAACTGAAGAGATAAGCAGATTGGTTGCTATGGGCAACTGCTCCAGATTTTGTCTGCTCCAGTTTTGTTAAATTCCCCTCAGAATGAAATGTTTTGTCCTGAATTTACCAATCCTGGCGTTGCTTTTTTGAACTATCCCTGAGGTATCCCTGCAAAACCAGCGTTCAGTCACGGGAGGATGGGAATGTTCCTTTGTCATACAGCGTTGTAATAAAGAATAAGATCAAGTTAACCCAAACACGTCTTTGTTTATGATTCAATCAATACATCTTCCAATGTAAATGAGGCACCTTTTGGGATAGTTGCTGGGTGGCGGTTGAAGGAAGGAATGTATTGATCAACGG